ATGAGGGCACGTACTGGACATTTTGGTTTGTGGAGGGTGCGGAGATTGGAGGGTGGTTGAGCTTTTGTGAGGATTTGATAGTGTGGTTATTTCGAGACTATCACGGTGTGTACAAGTAGAGATTAGGCACCAGGATACGAAGGATAGTCGAATAAGACGTCGTTGGAAACCACTTATATCTCTCTGGTCAGTCTTACAGAACGAACAGATGCAGCATACGGATGCAGCACTGAAAAATGGCGAAGCCGAGGGATTTTGTTACTGCCCATCAAGTCGGCCATGTCCATCAAGAAACCCATATATATACTCCTCCTGTAGCCCTTCATCACACAAGCGGTGAAAAACGTTTGTCAACGGGCATCTGTGCCTCTTGAAGACACCTGCCCATCGCCATGTTGACTTCCCTTCCCCGAGCGGGTGTCGACGTTCTTTAATGGCTCGAGTTCCAGTTCCTGTCCGACGGTGGGGAGCAGATGCCAAACGCATGTTGCCAAACGCGTGGTACTATGTGTATAGTTAGCGAGCTCGAACGTCTGAGATTTTATGTCAAAGTGAGAAATGTATGCAGGAGTCCTGATTCATTCCCGTACAAGGTTGTGGATGCAGGCTGCCGTGCGTTGGGAATGGCGTTTGGGACTGCTGGGAGGACTCTTAGTTAGGTTGGAAGTACGTGCTGGTGGCATGTAGAGATTTGTATGTGTGTCTTGGTTGTATGCCTGGGAAGTTGTTGCTGAAGATTGGGAATGAGGGATGTTCGTGATTCGGGGATAATGAATGACTGTAATGTCCCATAGAAGCGTTTCATATGACCTATAGAAAGTAAATCAATGGTTAGCACTGTGAGATTCGACACGTATGATTCTTGGGAGAACGAAGTTGGAACAAGAGACAGCATGACCATGATGTTTCATCTGGAGTCCGTTTTCACTGACCACATGTGAAAAATCACGGCACCCATGTGCGACAGCTGGTACTGATGATTCCTAGAAAATTGCCAAGAAAGGTATCAAGCCCCTTATGCTCGTGCAACATAAGCGATCTACCCTTATCTCGTGTCCTCGCTGCCATGCCATGCAACTAGTTCTCCAGCTGCATGATGTCGTACAGACAAACGGATATGCAGATATAGGAGCATGCAACTGCACACTCCATCTGTCAACCCTGGCTGACCAAGACCTCGGAAGTTTGTTCCCCCGCGAGAGCAATACGACGTGCATTCGCGAGACATTTTAGAATCCAGATGGAAAGCAGCAGTTGCGTGGGGGCAGAACTGCAGTGCATGTGGAGCCGGGCAAAGAGACAGTTGTTCAACTTCACCGCTCTTTCTCATCATGCATGCGTGCAGGTAACCCGGACGACTGCTGTGATCGGATGATATCGACTCATCTGATACTATGTACAATGGGACCTTGCGATGAGTGAACGTCCCCGCTCACGTTATTGATTGGCTCCTCAGAAACGCTAACCGCTTTTGGGAAAGCGCTTCCGATCTTGAAGTTCGACATGCAAGATGTCGACGATAGGGATTGCAAGCGTGGCAAACGGGTCCCAGACGCCACAAACCTTACAAACAGTATGTGACAACCGTTGGGAATGAAATTCAAACGTATCAATTGACTTTTTCGTCAGCTCTTCCTTCTCTATCGCGCCACGCCCCACCCCGCAAACGCAATCCACGCACTCTCCACTTCCCCTCCCCATCCCACGGCGAAGCCACCAAAGAACACATCCTTCCAGAAGCATCTGCGCCCATCGAAACCAAACAAACACACTTACACAATGTCCTACTTCCGCATAACCCTAATGCGCTCTGGCATCGGCATGCCCCAAAAGACCCAAGGTGTACTGCACGCCCTCGGCCTCCGCAAACGCATGACGACCGTCTACCACCCCGTCTCACAGTCTGTCGCTGGCCAGATTATGCGGATAAAGGAGTTGGTGGATGTCAAGGAGGTGGAGCAGCCCATGACAAAGCAGCAGATGCGCAATGCGAGACGGCCGGACCCGGGGTACTATGTCGAGACGAGGGCGGGCGAGGCTATGAAGGGGTATGAGTGAGAGTGGGCAGGATGAATGGAGAAATGGGTCCAGCGTATTCTGGGATGAGGTGTATAAATGATATGCAGTGTATAGTAAGGATGGCAGATCAGCATGGAAGGCGTTTTGGGACATTGGAGTTATCCAAGAGCCTTGTAATGGAGTCAATTCGATTTCGCATCATGATGAGCTACAGCATGGTCTGGGTGCCTAGTTTTTCGATTTCAACGTTGGCTAGTCACCTGCAGTCGCATCTGGTTCTGATTCCACCAGAGCTCCTCCCATGGTGCACCTGAGAAGCCAGACATAGCATATAGACACAGCGGCAACCAAACCACCACAATACAAAAAAGCGTATCATCACATCGAATCTCCATGTATGAAAACACCCAACTCATGAATTGCATCAATCAACCAGAAAAATCCCATCACTCTACACTGCCAATCTGCCCCATCTACCATCCGTCCCATTCTCGGCCCCTCGGCCCCAGCACCTCCCATCACGTAAGCAACCCGTCCAAAAATTCCGCCTCAACTTCCCCCCCTCCCCCACCAAACTATCAACGCATCCTGATTCGTCAAACCCCCTGCTTTGCAACACCCAGAGTCGCAGACGTCAGGACTCCAACTCCAGTCGGCTAAAGAGCGGCATGTCGGAAGTTGTGGGGTCCGCTGTGGGAGTGGAAGGTGGTGGAATGTGATGCAGTGTCTTGCAGGACAAGGATGAGGAGAAGGTGAATTAGTAAAGGGAGTGGGGGGGGAAATCTTGGATGATGGGTATAAAAAGTTAAATGGCGGGGTGTTTTACGCTTTGTGTCAACGATTGTTTTTTGATTGTGTAGGACTTTGTCTTTTTTTTTTGGAATCTCGTCGAGACTTGTAGGTTCATAGGACTTGGTACTTTGTCATTGCAGCCATGTCGTCTATCAAACCCATCAAAATCTACGGTCAACATGGTATGTTTGGATTCCCTCGATATGCTCAAAACTTCACTTCCCATCAACCATGCACATGTCCCCCACAGCCATTCCCCATACCCGCAACTCTTCCCCACGATCCCACTGACCCCCTCCCCAAGGCCCCAACCCCCCCAAAATCGCCATGCTAGCCAAAGAACTCAACCTCCCCCATGAAATCGAACCCATCAGCTTCCCCGACCTCAAGAAGCCCGAGTTCCTCGCCATCAACCCAAACGGGCGCATGCCGGCCATCTACGACCCCAACACCGACCTGACGCTCTGGGAATCCGGTGCGATTATCGAGTACCTGGTTGACCGGTACGATGAGCAGCGTAAGCTGAGTTTTGAACCTGGGAGTAAGGAGACGTGGTTGGCGAGGCAGTGGTTGTATTTTCAGGGTGAGTTTGGGATTTTTCTTTTACTTTGGCTTTTGCTTCTGGTGTTGGAGTGGGTTGGGTTGGAGTGAAACAAAGGAAAAGGAAAAGAGAAAGAGAAAGAAGACATCAATTACTCCCTCTCCCTCCCTCTTACCCCCCCAATTAACAAACCACCCAACTAACCCACCCCCCCCCCCCACCAACAGTCAGCGGCCAAGGCCCCTACTTCGGCCAAGCCGTCTGGTTCACAAAATACCACTCGGAGCAACTCCCCAGCGCCCAAAACCGGTACTACCAAGAAATCAAGCGCGTCACCAGCGTGCTCGAATCCCACCTCAAGCAGCAGCCCAAAGGCAGCGACGGGCCCTGGCTAGTCGGCGGCAAGTTTTCGTATGCGGATTTGGCGTTTGTGCCGTGGCAGCTTGGGGCTATGAAGGTATGTTGATGATGTTTTTTGTTGTGGTTTTTTTTGCTTGGCTAACGGTTTATCTTTCTGGGAGGACAGATGTTGGCGGATAAGGTTGATTTGAGCGAGTTTACGGAGGTCAAGGGATGGATTGAGAGGATGATGAAGAAGGAGACGATTTCGGGGACTATGGCGGCTGCGGTGCCGACGTAGTGGTGTAGCTGTGAGCTATGTACTGGTGTACTGGTGTAGCAGTGAGGAAGTGGAATACAAGGAAAAGATATATGCAGCACAACAAGACATAAATATATATACATACAAACACCCAGCCCACCCACAACCCCCCCTCCAAACCCACTCCAACATCGCCATCCCCCCCAAACCCCCAACACCACCACCCTTACCGCCACACAGCATTATCCCCCCTTCTAACCTCTCACGAAAAAAAACACACATTCCCTTTACAGTGGTTCCCGCACAATTTAAATTTGTACTTCCTGCGCCCCCCCCCCCCTTCCCGCTCATTTCCCCAACCCTCAACCCGGAACCTAAATGTATGTCCTCAGCTACAACACACGATGCAAAACAAGCGAGCTCGGCGCGAGGTATGGATAGCATTAGTAGAGCACAGCAGAGTCAGCGTGCGTGCATACACGCTACACTACCTTAATCGCAGTCTGAGATTTCCTGGGGGGGTTTTTATTTTGCCACGTTGCTGTTTAGTGGAAGAGGGAGGGAGAGGGGAGAGTGCTAGTACTACTGCGAGCCCGCAAACCCAGGTGACGAAAAAGCAAATATCCAAGACACACATTCAAACTCTCAAAACCATGAGCCATCCCCACCAAGATGCCAGGTCCCAGGAAAAGAAAAGTGCAAGGGGTAGAGAAGAGTGTGCCAAAGTGCTAAAAGCCCAAATATCATATCTTGGCCGCGGACAAAAGATCAACATATTGCAGGGAGTTCAGAATGTTGAGGGGGAGGGCATCACAAAAAACATCACACATCGCATCACAGCACCACCAACCAGAGCACGGAATCAATAGCGTTCAGTATCTCAAATTGAAAACATTTCTAACAGCAGAGCAGCAGAGAAAGTAAATACCAATTAGCCGTAGCACTAACCCATGGTAAGCCAGGCTAGTAGCGTATGTAGGTAGCGTGAAGGGGCATGAGAAGAAGTAGTAGTAGTAGTAGTAGTAGAAGGAGTAGTAAAAGAAACAAAAAAAAACAAAGCCAAATACACTTCGCAATCCAAAAGCAGACCCAAGTCCGCCCGGCAGAAAGCCTAGGAGAGGAGGGGAGCGGGGACGCCGTGTACGTCGGTTGGGGGTATTCGCAAGGGGTCGAAGAGGGTAGGAGGGAAGAAAAAAAGATTGGAGTGGAAAAAGGGTATGCGTGGTTGAAGGGAAGGATTCTTTTTGTGGAGAAATATTGTGTATGGGAAGAGAAGTTTCGGGGAAGTGGTTGGCGGTAGCAAGTTTTGTAGTGGACTTGTGCGGGTGGCAGTCTGGTACTGGCGAGCAGTGTGTAGGTGGGGGTGAGAAGAATAATGTAGTGGTGTAGGATGCGACTCGCAGTCTCCCTCGTATTATTGACAAGCTGGCAAGGTGTAATGTGATTGTCTGGTTGCCGGGCGACTATTACAAGTTGAAGTTGTCAAGTTGGTGCCAAAACCGCGAGCCAAATCGATGCGTAGCCACGTTGTCCAAGCATGAAGCTGACCGGCAGGCCTTCATGTGAGGTCGACATGTATTGATCATGGTTCTGTATGATCAAACGAGCGAGATAGGCTTCTCTACGACTTCAACAGGGCCTCCATCTCCTGTTCGAGTCCCTTGCTCCACAGGTACTCCTTCTCGTCCTCGATCTGATCGTCGACAGGCAAGTAGACGTCCTCCATGGTGGGAATTTTTGCAATCTGGTCGAGAGGGTACTGGTCAACCACCGGGAGCGTGTTCCAAGATAGGGACGGAGGACCCTGTTCGCGAGGAAGGGGTAAGAAACGGCCAACACCTGTCTTGGCGCGGTCGTCGCCCTCCCACTTCATCTCAGCGATCGAGGGCCAGGGTGCGATCTCGTCCTTGCCATTGGCCCAGTCCTTGCACCAGATGGTCGATTCGCCAAGAACTCGTCCCTTGTTGCCATGCTCGTCAAAGTTGCCGTTGATCCCCCACTTCCTCAGACACTCCTGGGTCTCCAGAGGAATCGCCGAGTCCAACGTGGATGCCGTCTCCCGCATCTGGACTTTTCGAGCCAGCTGCTCCGCTTGCGAGGCGATGACTGCTTCACGATGGGCGATGTAGTCACCGAGTTTCCACTTGGCGACTTCCGCATTCTTGAACTGCCGGCGCATCGAGTTGCGAATGACCAAGAAGTCTTGCTGTGCTTGAACATCGGGTGACATCCATGTGCGAGAGTTACGGTAGCCTCCACTACCGGCCCGGCTGTTGAATGCTGGTCCTGGACGTGCATTGTTGTCCCTCCATATGCGCCCACGCGGCTGCGGAGAGTACACGCTCGGCGTGGTGGAGGATTGAGGTCCACGCTGAGACGGGCTGGTGTAGCGGTTCGCATCGCTGTTGAATGGGCGCGCAGCCGCGTCGTCAAGAGTCAGATGGCGGAAACCAAGATCATTAGGGCTGATAGGGCTACCCATCGAAAGAGTGCTAACAGCACGGGAGCGCGCATCAGGTTTGATGCCATTCTCCGGTCGAGTGTCGCCGCTGCTATTGGAAGATGGCGCAGCAGTTGGGCTGCAGTGTACCTGGAAGCGACTAGCCACGGGAACGCCACCGTTCTCTTCCCCATCTATGGATACAGGACTACCAGCCATTGGAACTCCCTGACTGAGGTCGTTGCTGCTTTGTGGTGTGGACGAACGCATATTCAAATGGGCACTGATAGTAGAAGCCGGTCGTTGTGAAGCACAAGGGTCGACGGAGAAGAGGCGTTCTGAAAGAGTCCAGCAGATGTCGAGGAGATGCTGTCAGATGTGAGAAGTGATGTTCGATTTGAAGACCGGGTTTCATCGGCCGGAGGCGGGGTACCAACTGAGAGAGAGCGAAAGAGAAAACGGGAGAAAGAGAGATAGAGATAGAGGGATCGAGAGAGAGAGCGAGAAAGAAAGAGAAGTCGTTCCAATGATGAGAAGCCAAAGATTCCTACCGTCTCTGAGTAAACATTAGCCATGGCTCGCTTCATGCTAGCTCGTGTCACGACGCGCGTGTCACCGACAGTGCTCGAGTGGGGTCGCTCTGCTCATGCTACTACCATCACTTTGAGGGAAATGGATGGCTGCGTGTTGGCCTCGATCCAGGAGCAAGCCAATAAACGAGCGTGCGGGGTCAACAGGTCGACACCGCCTCCCAACACCAATGGCATGCTTTCAAGGGTAAATCCCATAACAATGGAGACACTTACCTGGTATTTCAAGGCCGTATTGGTCGGGGTAGCTCACGGCGACAGTGTGCAGGATCGGTAGGTAGCGGTATTTGCAGTATTAATGTCTCGCCTGGGCGCGGTAAGTAAATGCGTGAATGCGATACTCGTGAGACTCAACTATTGCGATTGGGAGATTTCAAAGTGGTAGCTGAGATCAGGATATAAGTGTGGAGCCTGCTCTTCACTAACCGTCCCGTGAGCCTAGGCTACCGTGTGGCACAATAAGAATATTACCAAAGGTCTATAAGTTGCCGAAAACGTCTGCCTTGGATGAAAGGTAAAGTCTAACGTGTAGGGCCTGATCTATTGTCCCCCGTATGAGCGGCCTGGACTAGGCGTTTGGCGGAGAAGTAAACGTACACCAAATTTGGTCAGGCGGCGACTTTGGCGGTGTAGTGAGAGCTCGAAAGGCGATACTATAGCCGAGAGAGGCTGCTCGCGCCTGACTGGGTAGACGTTACGCTTGAAGAGTGCAAGCTGGTTGCGATACAGATTTGGCGGCGCCGCCAGAAAGTGAGTCTATACGAGAGCAACAAGAGGGTAGGAAATCAGTCGAACGGTGAGCGTCGGGCGGTGGATTGAAAAGCGAAACCAGCGGCTGCAAAGACAGGGAATAGAGATGAAGAGGATGCCGGTCGAGGAGAGAGGGGGAGGAAGAAAATTTGGGTGGTGGGCGACGTGAAGATGTGGTGAGCGGACAGCACTAAGAGCGAATGACAAACAGAATGCCCAGGACCCTGGAAAACGGAGCCAGAGAGCACAGATGGTAGTAGCCTAGCAGCGCCCTCTCGCACGTCCACGAGAAATAAATATAAAAAAAAACTTGATTCAAGGGAAGCAAACAACGACCGGCGTTGTCGCAAGAAAATGACTCATCCGGCACAGAAGGTTAGGCAGAGAAGAAGAGAGAATGGGTGGAGAAAGAGAGAGGGAAAGAGAATGAGGGGAAGATGGGATGAAGATGGTGGCGAGTTGGAGCTGCTGTTGCACGCACTTGCCGTGCGCCTTCTTGCCAGGGGAACTACGAGAGTACGCAGGAGCAGTAGCCATCTGAATGATGCATCTTCGTCCGAGTAGCTCTTTTTGGAGAGAGTTATTTTTTTTAATGTACCAAGCTGCCGATGCAGCCTTGTTTCGACAGTATGTAAAGCTGCTCATCAGTGCGGCGACAACGGGTGGGGCGAAGGCGGGTGACGGTGATGGCAGTCAATCAGTAGCAACACATGCGTATCCCGTGGGACCGACCGACCGAATGTCCTTCTCATGGTGAGTAGTGTTTACCTGTCACTTGACTTGATCATGGATACTAGAAGGGGCAGTCTTTTTTTCTTCTTTGAGGAGATGGGGAAGGGGGGGGGGCCCTGTTTTGAGGTAGAGAATGGGCTATCATGACAACGGCATCACCAAGGGACGAAGCACTTGTCCAACAGGTATTTCTCGAATTTTGAATATGGTAGCGTGCTATATGGTTGAATGGTAGATGTACGGGTGAATCAAGGCGGGCACACGAGTGAAAGCAAAGAGGATGGCATGGAGGCGGGGGGGGTTGGACTGCCAAAGAGGCGAAGAGAGAGAGGAGAGAGGACGAGATGAAGTTGGGATGAGCAAGGAAGGCGTGTTTGAGGCTCCGGGGCCGCTTAGAGCGATGATTGGTCGCCAACCTGCACAACTTCCCTGGGTCGAGCTCGGGCCATTTCTCTCTTCGAGGGGGCGGGGCCAGCCGCCAGCGCTTCTTGACCAGCTCTTTGGCACGGTGGGGGTATACTCCTACATGGTACTATAGTCCGTGGCCTTTTCTTTCGTTGCCGTCAGTGTTGGACCCGCTGACCGGGGCGCCTGTCGATGGTACATGTCTCTATATTTGGATCGTAGCGGAGACGGACTTGAGCGCAGTGACAGGTGACACCTGAGAAAGAAGGAGGAGGAGGAGGAGGAGGAGGAGGAGGAGGAGAAGAAGAAGAAGAAGAAGAAGAAGAAGGAGAAGAAGGAGAGAGAGAGAGAGAGAGAGAGAGACAGACCATGGCACGGACCGATAGCAGTGCGACACAAATGCGAGACCATCCTACGGTACTCCACGTTGAACATCTGAGATGACGTCTTCGTGAGCTGCAAGAAAAACAAGGCAAAGTGGCAAATGGTGGGGGGGGGGGGGGGAGGTGGGCACAACCTACAAAACCGTGGCCTTGCCTTGCGCATCTCTGGTGAGATGAGCACCTCCTCTGCCTGCCACCCCTCGTGTGCAGTGCAGAGGTCGTGTTCCCTTGCGCTCGACAATCTTTTCATCACGGCGACGGACCCGTCATGACCGTCAGCCGTCGTGTGAGCTGTTCACCCCCACCGTATAACCCTCATGTCATCGACCAGCTCGCCTGCCCGCCATCGTCGTGCGCGCGTCGTCGTGGACCCTATGAGCGCAAGTCGTGGAACAATACGATGCCCGCTCAGACACTGCAACCTACTTCACGTACCCACAACCACTCGAGCATCGGCAACGCCCAAAATAACAAACGCCCTCACGCTTTCCCCTTCCAGCGTTTCGTTTTACCTCTTCCCCAGCCCGTCCGTCTGACAAGCAAATGACTGGTCGGGAGTGGCTTGCTCCACCTCCACGGGCGCCTATTTCGGCCACCACCACCCCCGGAATCTCCTGTTTTCCCTAGAGCCTCATCCAAGTCTATGCTTTGCTGAAACGGCCAGGTCGTGCAGGCTCTCTCTCGGGTCCACCATGCCTGTACCTCTAGAGAGGCCTGCAACGGGTCCTCGCTTCCTCGCGGTACGTCTTCCTCCATTCACGTGAGGCCAGTCATTGTGAGAGTAGATATTCACAACGTCCCGCCCACCTGACTCCCTTCACCTCGTCTCTTCACACCTGTTCTTCTTCCTTTATTGCATTGTACGGAGCGTTGGACTTTTCTTTGGTCATCTATTGTTCACTTTATCAAATCACTTAATATCTAACCTTTTCTTTTCTCCTTCACGCTCCATCTCTGGAAGATACCCTTGACCTGGCTGGCCTGTCTCTCAAATTCCCACCTCCGGTCTCTACACGCATCCACTTTCGCCTTTTTTTTTACTTGCCTGTCAAACCACCCCGCCAGTCTAACGTTCTCGATAGACCGCGTTTCGCACGCATACACAGACATGATGACTTCCTCTGCGAACCAACAGCAACCCTTCCCAACTGTGCCTCCATCTATGTCCGCTGGCGATAGTCATGAGATGCGAGACTACTACCCACCGCAAGATGCACCACTACCTACCCTAAACCAGACACCAAACTTCAAACCTTACCTCGGTCTTCGAGCTAGGCTCTCGCAAATATGGATCAATCGCTGGACGATTCTACTACTCCTGGTCCTCGTCCGACTACTTCTCGCCATTGCAAGCACCGACGCAAGTCTCACTTCTGCTCGTCGCGAAGCCCTCAGTGCTTGCACCCAGGTCGAGAGCATCGGCAGCTCCATGGCCTCTATGCCTCACTACATGAGCAAAGGCGTCAACGAAATGACGGCTTCCGGAATCGAAAAGGCTGTCAGTGGCCTCATGACCATGTTGGAGATGAGCGTCACGGGTGTCGAGGAGATCATCCTCTTTGTCATTCACATGATGACCAGCACGTATCTCTGCCTAATCACCCTCGCTGTCAGCGGTAGCCTTCACGCCGCCGTCGAAATCGGAGAGGCCATCAACAAACAACTCGATGAGACAATCGAAGAAGTCACAAACGACATGGGCAATGCCGTCAAGTCGGTAACGGACGGCATCAACTCCATCATGGACAAGATCAACTTCAACTTGCCTGGCTTCAACAAGCCGACTATCAATCTGGACGAACAGATCAACAAGTTGAAGGCGCTCGAGCTTCCCCCAGACATGCAGGAAGGCCTCAACAAGCTCAACCAGTCCATTCCAACCTTTACAGAGGTGCAGAATTTCACCGACAACCTCATTCGCACGCCCTTTGAGGAGGTCAAGAAGCTCATCAAGGGCATGGACACATTTGAGTTCGACCGACAAGTACTCCCCGTGCCACAGAAGGAAGCACTTACCTTTTGCTCCGAAGGCAATGGCATCAACCAATTCTTCGATGATCTCATCGAGCTTGCCTACAACGCACGGAAGATTGGGCTCGGTGTGCTCATCGCCCTCGCCATCCTTGTTTGTGTACCCATGGCATGGATGGAAGTTCGTCGATACCGCAAGATGCAAGAACGCGCTGCACTGTTCGCAGAGGGCCACGACGCAATGGACGTCGTCTATCTCGCTTCTCGCCCAACCTCTTCCGGTATCGGTCTGTGGTTCGGTAGGCGATTTGGCTCAGCGCGTCGACAAGCTGTCATGCGCTGGACTTGGGCCTACGCCACTTCCGTCCCCATGTTGTTCCTACTGTCTCTCGGTCTCGCCGGACTCTTTGCCTGCTTCTGTCAATACCTGCTTTTGAAGGCTATCCAGGACAAGACCCCCGAGCTCACGTCGCAAGTCGCTGATTTTGCCGGAAAAGTCGTTACGTCACTCAACAACGCGTCCATGTCGTGGTCTCAAGGCGTCAATAGCGCCATTGGGAAGCTCGACAGCGAAATGAACGACGACATTTTCGGCTGGGTAAACACCAGTACGACTGCAGTCAACAACACCCTCAACGGCTTCGTGAGCAAGATGAGCAAGACCCTCAACGACACGTTCGGCGGCACGGTTCTCTACGATCCAATCAAGGAAGTCCTCAACTGTCTCATCGGGCTGAAGATTGCTAGTTTCCAAAACGGTCTCACCTGGGTCCAAGAGCATGCGCACATCTCCTTCCCAGGCGTCGCAAACGACACCTTGTCTATTGGTGCCCTCGCCGAGAACAGCGGCTCAGACTCTGCTGCCGAACTACTTGCGAACCCTAGCGGCAAAGCAAAAGATGAGATTACAGAAGCAGTCAATCGTGTCATTGAGAAACTCATGAGTGGCATTCGTCAAGAAGCACTCATCTCCACCGCTATGATCCTCATCTGGCTCTTCATCGCCCTCGGTGGCCTCATCTATGCCTCCACTCATCTGTTCCGCCGCGATGACTCAAAAATGGGTAGAAACCCCTATGCCGTCGACTCTCCCATCGAGACCCAGCACAAGGCACAAGACTACCCCGCTGCCGCGCCTCCTTCGTACGTCGCCAACAACTACAATGTCAACAAAGCAGCGCCTTATACGCTAGCACCCCGACCTTTCTCGACATTCGAGCACGATGCCGAGCCTCCAACTGAAAAGGTTGGCAGTGTTGGCGCGCATGCAATCACCGAGTCTTCTCGCCCTGGTCACCTCCGTGTAAGCAGCTATGGACAGCTCGCCGATCCTTCGCCTGTCAACGACAATCCAAATCCCTTCTCGGACCAGCTCCACCCTGAAAAGCGAACCCACAATCCCTACAACTAAGTTTTTACCGGCATTTCGCCTCCCAAACCATGCAGCCATCAGACCGCCGACTTTTGTCTTCTGATGTCTACCGGTTGGATGTTGGGCTGCGTACCGCCACCATCGACCTTGCGATATGAGTCGTAATCGCTCAGACTTGAAATTTGGTTCTCTGAAGTTTTTAGCTCCCTGAAAAGCGTGAGCTAACACGATACCTCTGTGTTGATGAAGCGATTTCCTTTTTCGCTACTCCACGAAGTATTCGTGTTTGGTGTTTTATATTCTACAATATCCTGTCAATTTTTCCTTGTAGTATCTGTGTTTTCCGTTCGTCATGTGCTCTGCCTTGCGGGCTGCGCGTTGGATTGATATCCCCTCATTGCTTAAAGAGTGACAGCGAATAGCTGTGTTTTGTACACCCCGATTTCATCCTTTTTCATCCAGGTCAAATTTTTCTTGAAAGGAAGTTCCGTGTACAAAGGCACCCTCTTCCATCACTTGATGAGGCGTGTTATATCTCCTTGAGTATGTCTGTTCCCGAGGTCCCTTAAGCCCGTTCTTCCTCGCAGCCCTCCCTCACTCGCGCACATTTGCCCTTCTCCATCCTAGGCGTCCCTTGCGAGCGCTTGCATCACGTTTCCCTCTGCAAGTACCGTGCCCTGCTGTGGCTTGCCCGCTCGGTGCGCGTCTGCAGATGGAGGTCTGACCCTCACATGGGACGTTGAAACGGATGTGCAGTCAAGGCTGCGATATCGCTCGAGTGTTTGGGTTTGTGTTTGCTGTGATAGAGCCGGCGATATGTGGATATGACTCGCTCTTTCGCCACTCCTCTCCTTTGTCTTCCATTTAAGCACCCTCCCCCTGGCCCTTTTGGCTTTTTCTTGTATGCATTGCGCACCCGCTGTGGCCATGGGAGGGGGAAAGTCGGAGAGGCTGTGTTTGCTGATTGGTAACAAGCGTTGTTGCCTTCCTCCTGCCCTTGTCTCTCTCTTCTCTACGCTGGAGGGCCAGTAGGGAAGAGAGCGAGGACATGTTGAGTTGAAGGTCGACATGGATGTGTTTGTCTTGTACGGTTTGAAGAATCCTCGTCCTTTGGATGAAGGGTTGGTTATTAGCTGCGATTTTTTCTTTTCGCGCCGTTTGAGTTGATCCTGTGTTGGCGCTTGCGCCCGGGACTAGCTGAACAGGCAGATTTTCGAGAGTGGTGTTGGATGCCAAATCGCCCAAGGATTATGTGCTGGGCACCAGGTTGCTCGAAGAGTATCTTTTGTCTATGGGTGCAAAAATCGGGGGGAAGAGACGGTTCCCTACGTTTCTTGACAGGAGCCGTTGATAGCAGTAATCAAAGTTCCTTCCCCTTTATCCTTTTGTATCACTTTGCACGTTTGTTTTTGTACACGTTCTACACTCGCTCAAACAGCAACACTCACTCTCATCATGTTCGTTCGTTCTAAAAGGCCTATTAATCTGGCAGAGCGCCCGTAGATCGTAGTAGATAGATGTACTAAATACTTATCATTGGGTTTCATGTGCATCTAACATATGAAAGCGTAATAATCTGCAGATTCGAGTGGGTCATGCCTTGGACAGCACAGTGAATGCACGTACCATGTCGTAGTGATGTGGTCGTGTTGGTCAAAGCTTCTACCGCGGGCAATGACGATGCTCCGAGGCTCCTACTCCAAGATGGACAGGCATCACACTTCATGAAGCTCTCTCACGTCGCGCAACCATTGTCGCAATAGCGGCAACATAATCCCCAGATGACTACAAATATAGTCTGACGCCATCATGCTCTCAGCCTTTACCGCTCGGCCCCTGGTCGAACTCAAGCAGCGCGACAAGTCCAAGATCGAGTCCATACTCGCCTATGGTACCAAAGAAATGCCACCTATACGGAGACATGATGTTAACAACTACCAGGCGATCGCGTGCTTGTCGGCTTGAACACTGGAGCTCTGCGCATCTATCGTGTCAACGACCAGATTGAGGACCCCGACCCGGAGCAGAAGCAGAACGGCGACCATAATGTCGACGAGCCCGAAGCACCCACCCCGAAACCGAAAGCCGCGGACCTCTTGCGCGAGGAGGAAAAGTTCTCGCGGCGCCCTATACAACAGCTTGCTATAATTAAAGAAGCCAATATCCTTGTCTCGCTGTCGGACAACTATGTCTCGATCCACGACATCCAAACCTATGCGCTGCAGGAAAAGTTGGAGAAGACTCGAGGTGCGACGACGTTCGCTGCGGCTAGTAATATCGTCAAGGACCCCTCGACAGGTATACCGTCGATAGTCAGCCGGCTAGCCGTTGCGGTCAAGCGAAAGATTATATTGTGGACATGGCAGGATATGGAAGTCACGGGCGATGCGGTCGAAATATCGCTCATCGCCTCGGTCAAGAGCTTGACGTGGGCAACGGGTACCAAGATTGTAGCAGGAATGGACCCCGGCTTTGTCATGGTGAATATTGAGACACAAGAGGTACAAGACATCATCAAGCCAGGTGCGTTGGGCGAGGCAGGTGTGCAGGGCGGCGCTCGCTTTGGCGCCGTGTCTTCGTCTGGGATGGGGTACATGGGCATGGGCAGCTGGGTGCCAAAGCCATTAGCGACACGACTGGGAGAGGGTGAAATGTTGCTCGCCAAGGATGTGAACAGTCTGTTCATCGACACGGACGGCAATGCGCTCGATCGACGACAGGTACCGTGGCAGGCTGCACCGGAAACCATCGCATACTCGTATCCGTACATGCTGGCGCTCAATCCTCCCTCAAAGGGCAGTCTTGAGATTAGAAACCCGGACACACTCAGTCTGTTGCAGTCGATATCATTGCCAAACGTCAATTTTCTTCATGTACCACAGCCAAATATCAGCTTAGCACATGCTGGCAAGGGATTCTTGGTGGCGAGCGACCGGTGCATATGGCGCATGGGAGCACAAAGTTACGAGACGCAGATTGACCAACTAGTCGCAAATGGACGTTACGACGAGGCGCTCTCTCTGCTGAACATGCTGGAAGACACGCTATTGTTGGACAAGGAAGAGCGGGTGCGTGAGATTCGCATGCTCAAAGCACATGCTCTGTTTGATCATAAAAAGTATCAAGAGGCTATGGAGCTGTTCACAGACGCCCGAGCGCCACCTGAGCGAGTCATTGCGTTATACCCCAGATCCATTGCGGGGAATTTGGCACCAGAAGAGAGCGTCAAGGGTGATGGTAGCGTGGCCGACGAAGAAGAACCAACCATGGAAAGGAAGGACAACGACCCCAAAGATGCGGCACCTGGCGCCGTGTCGACCATTGGCCGTTCGATGATGGGCCGCCTTGTCGGACACAAAAAGGTAGACTCAGACACCGTCTCTGTTCGCGCATCCTCTGTCAAAGACGACGCAGCCGAGACCTCGAGCGTCAAGAAGCGCACCACCGACACGCCTCCGCCCGAAAAGGCCATCCAAGATAAAGACTTTATCAACTCGGTCAGGGGTCTCCAACAATTCCTTGCCCAGTGCCGTGTCCAGATCAAGCGGTACATTGATACGGACGGTAATCTCAAAGAACCTCTCCCCACGCCTAGTAGCTCCCAACTGGAAGCGGAAAAGCCGCCGTTCTACTACCTCATCCACGAATCTGCACACCCCATCCCAGGAGACGGCGACATGGACTGGAAAGCCCAACTGCTCTCCGTCGCGCAACTCGTCGACACCGCCCTATTTCGTGCCTACATGATTGCCAGCCCTAGTCTTGCAGGCTCGCTCTTCCGCCTCCCCAACTTTTGCGAGCCCGACGTTGTGCAGGAGAAGCTGTACGAAACGGGCCGGTATGCGGATTTAATCGACTTTTTGCATGGCAAGGGTCTCCATCGCCAGGCCCTCGAGCTCCTGGAGAAATTCGGCAAGAACGAGGCGGACGAGGAGGTTGCGCCGGCACTCCAAGGTCCCCAGCGCACCGTCGGCTACCTCCAACAACTGCCGCCCGAGATGATTGACCTGATTCTCGAATTCGCAGAGTGGCCGCTCCGCGTCGACCCAGATCTCGGCATGGAAGTCTTCCTCGCCGACTCGGAGAATGCGGAGACGCTGCCGCGCAACCAGGTGTTGGAATTTTTGCAAAAGATTGATGTCAAGTTGGCCGTTGCTTACCTCGAACATGTGATTGAGGAGCTGAATGATTTGAATCCCGAGTTTCATCAGCGGTTGGTCGATTTGTTTTTGGAGCGGTTGAGGAAGGGGGAGGGGGAGTTTGGGGGTGGGGAGAGGGAGAGGGCGGAGTGGAGGGAGAGGTTGCAGCGGTTTTTGAGGACGAGTGCGAATTATAACAAGAGTCGTGTGTTTCAGCAGTTGCCGGGGAATGGTATGTTTTACCTTTTTTTCTCTTTTCTTTTCTTTTCTAGGATCTTTTTGGATGATGGGAAACTGACTAATGGTGTGTGTTAAGATCCGGATTACTACGAGGCGAGGGCGATTGTGTTGAGTAAGATGGGACAGCATAAACAGGCGCTTGCCATTTATGTGTTTCAGTTGCAGGACTATCAGAAAGCAGAGGAGTAAGTTATTCCCCCTTCCCATTCATTCATTCACAAGCATCGGCCTGCCCAAGAACAACCCCCCTCTCTGACGAGTACCACCAGATACTGCAACCAAATCTTCATCACATCCCCAACCCCCGACGCCCCAACAACAACCCACCAACCCACCACCTCGACACCATCCACACGTACAACCGAAGATGCAGACCCCTCCATCTACCACATCCTCCTCGCCCTCTACCTCACCCCCCCACCCCCCCACAAACCAAACTGGCCCCCGGCCCTTGACCTCCTCT